CCCAGCGTCCCTCCCGAGCTGGACGGGCTGGACTCCGAGAAGGACAAGATGCTGGTGGAGAAGCAGAAGGTGATCAACGAGCTCACCTGGAAGCTGCAGCAGGAGCAGCGGCACGTGGAGGAGCTGCGCCTGCAGCTGCAGAAGCAGAAGCGGAGCAAAGGTCGCCGCAGCACTCGCCGCTCGGGGCTGTGAAAAGCCCGCAGCACATCAGCTTGCCCCCGTCGCCGAACAACCATTACTTCCTACCTTCGTCCGCAGGTGCTCAGGGAGAAGGGCACGGGGCCTCCTCACCTGCCAGCACCCAGGTGTGTACTGCACAGGTAAGAACTCCTTGCCCACACCCGCTGCACCCCCTTCCTGGAAGCGGGGTGTGGATTTGCAGAGCTAAGAGCTGGTGTTGGAACTTTCCAAGTCCAACAGCACCTCCCGGCCACGAAGATTCTGGGGCCTTCAGAGTAGGCGGACTTGCTTCTCTGGGATGGAGGCTGGCACACTGGTTCTCTAAAACGCTGGATAAGAAATACGTTTGACTTTGGGAGCATTATGGTCTCTGCAGACAACTTATAAACAAGTGCACGTGGCTGCGTTCCAATAAAGCTTTATTTACAAAATCAGGTTTGGCTCCCAGGGCTGTAGATTGCCAAACACTGTTTTAGGATTCCTTGGCACCACGCCTCAGCATAGGCCCAACCAATTCATTCCAAGAGCCAAAAGGGAAGTTACCAGACCTTACTGGTCTCTGTGTGGTTGGTCTGCAGAGTGCCAATATTTACTGAGCACCTACTGTGTGCCAGCCCAGACCCTCTTCCAGTCTCCTGGGACTAACCAAAAAAAAAAAAAAATCCCTATTCTCATGGGGAGACAGTAAATTTAAAAAAAATATAAAATATATAATGTATTAGAAGATGATACATCTTATAGAGAGAACGCAGAAAAGGGGGGTGAGGAGTTTGGAAATTTGCAGCCTTAAGTAAAAGGGCCAGGGACATTTGAGCAAAGCTTTCGAGAAGTGAAGGAGAAAGCCTTGTGAATATTTGGGGTGCAGGCAATGCTAGGCAAAGGAGGAAAAGCAAGTGCCAAGGTCCTGAGGAGCGAGTGTGCATGGAATGTTCAAGCATCAGGTGGAAAGCCAGTGTGCCTGGGGTAGAATGAGAGCGGAATTGTAGAAGACAGCTCAGAAGAGTAACTGTTTCAAAGACTAGACCAAGGTGATCATCAAAGACTTTACTTTGTCTATGAAGACAAAGAATTATTAGGAACATCTCTTTAAGTCTATCTGAGAAAAGGTTACATCAAGCATGTCAAACTCCCGGCTGGCGGGCTGCAAGTTTGACATGCTTGGCTCACATCATGAAAAGATTCTGAGTGCTATGGCGTTAGAAAAGGAGTAGGAAGAAAACTGGCATTAATTGCACTCCTGCCATGTACATGTATATGTATATGAGTAATCTTGTTCATTGTCACAACAACCTTTTGGGCTCCGGTTCGTTATTCTTTATTTGCCGCTGGGGAAAGTGTGGCTCGGGGAGGTGAACCTGGGATTGTCTGATTCTAAAGCACATGCTCCTTTCACACTGACTATTCTCTACCCCGGGAGTATGAGGTGTGGCCATAGGTAATGAGAAGACATTTTTGCAAACCCAGTGGAGCAATACATTCAAATGAATGATGCCCACCCATTTGGGAGGAGTTGGGACTTAAATGCATTATCATCATCAATGACAACATTTATTGAATGCATAGTGTCCTGGGCAACAATGGTAAACACAGGTCTTTTTACATAGCTCTGCACATTCAGTTCTAACGATATCGATACTCTCCAGAAGAACCAACATTTGTACAGTGATTTACAGTTTACAAAGCACCCTTTGAAGGCATGAGTGATTGCTTGATAAAAATATATTGAGCAATCCAGGATAACATTCCTGACTTGTGTCTATGACATTGCGGTAGAGGTAGGGGTGGCAGATTGATCATGAAGGGCTAGAAAAGTCCGGTAAGGCTTTGAGAAGGGGGTAGACTTAAAAGGAAGTGTAGCGTTCAAAAAGGAGAGTTTGCAAAAAGGCATTCCATGAAGGGGAAAAAAAACGATAGGGAGGTAGCATGTACAGGGCATGCTGAGGGGAGCTCATAAAGGGATTAGTGGAACTTAAACTTGCAGAAGGAACTAGTACTTGACTAAAGTCTTGAACACTAATGTTGGGGAGAAGTGGAACCCTATGCTGTGGATATGTAGGAGCCCCTGAACGTTTTGAGCAGTAGGTGATACATAAAAGCCAGAACTGAGACTTTGGTAATGGAACTTACCAGGGCCAGGTGTTAACAAAGGCTGCTCTCAAGAATGCCACTGATGGTTGCTTGACTTGTGCTTCTTTCTTTCTACAGAACTCAGGGGCACACGAGGGCCATCCTGCAAGCTTCTCCCCCCAGCCTTCTGGCCTCCACCCCCCTTTCTCTGGAGCCCAGGCAGATAGCAGTCATGGTGCTATGGGCAATCCTTGTCCCCAAAGCCCAGGTGTACAGCAAAAGGTAGGCATCTGGGAAAAGGTTTAAACTTGGGATTGACTTTGCTTCTTCTTTCTTCTGTGGATCCTTTTCATCCCAATGATGAGGTTCAATGGCAGAAATAAATGACATTTTAGGTAGAAACAGGCCTGAAATGGATGTACTGATACATGTTAGGAGGTACTTCAAGAAGTCATTTCCCGGCGTTATTCCAGAAGTCATGGTGAATACCATGACCCTGGTATGTTTGTGAGACACCATGGGGAACAAACCGGTTTCAGTGAAGCTGAAATAGGGGAGTGTGGGACATACTGCTGGATAAAGTGAAATACATGGATCTGTGGAAAGGATCAGAGGGATCCAGAAAGTTGGGTTCACAGTGCAATAGCCCTGCAAAAAAGGGAAGAGATGATGCATTTCAGCAGGTGGAAGAGTCAGGGATGTGAAGGATGTGGGTGGTCCAAGGGCAGGGGGGAGGTGATAAGGAGCAAGTGTGATGGCCAACACAGAAGTGCTGCATACCGCCTGCTGGGGCCAGGGTCCTGGAGACAGAGACCCTGGAATGGCCTATCCACAGGACACACTCAGTGCACGAGGCTGGTCTCCAAGAGATTCTCCCAGCCGTGCCTGCAGCTCTCTGCAAAGGCACCAGCCACAAATGGAACAGCTGGGGGATAAGTTGCTCTGGAAACTCCTGGGGTGGTGGACTTCTTAAAATTGGACTGGACTCTTTTACTTTATTTCCTTTTCTCATCTTGCTTTCTCCTAACAGAAGAGGGTGCACCTTGGAGCGAGAAATAAATCTGTGAGGTTCCCATTCTAAAATGCCTCCAGCAATAAGTCCATAGCGATATATACTATTGTTAATCTACTCGGTTTGTTTTCCTAGCCCTCGCTCTCTTTTTTCCCTTAAGTCTATTTTTCCAAAATTTAGCCCATAGTTTCCATTACAGAATCAGTACCAGATCTGACACATGAATTGTCTGTTTCTGCATTTGACTCACACAGATGGCTGGTTTGCAGTCTTCTGATAAAGCAGGACCAAAGTTTTCAATTCCATCCCCAACATTTCCTAAGTCAACTTCAACAGTTGCAGAGATAACACAGCCTCCATCCTATGAAGATGCGGTAAAGCAGGTAAGCACATGATTTGTTCTTTATCGAAGAATAGGATGGCTGAATTGCACTTTGTTTTACATGTTTTACACGGGTTCATGCATGTGGATTCTGGTATTGAGTGCATCTGGTTCCTCCCACCAGAATGGACAGTGTCTACATGCTAACTATAGAAAGGTGCTGATGTGTATGTAAGCTGTGTGAGGCCTAGAGAGAGAAGAGTTTGTCTGGGTACCCAGATGACTGGATTTAGTGCCAGCTCAGCCACCAGACAGCTGTACTGCCACTAAGGATGGGCAAATACTCAACTTATCTTATATGAAACAGGGCAAATATCTCCTTTGTAATGATTCCAAATGATATAACACTTACCTCTACCATTCTAATACCAAATGTCCAGGCAGCGGATAGGTCCTCCAGTATATGAGAGCAATGGTCAGTGTGACACTTCCTAGGGTTCTTCCTAGCTTCAAAATTCACTGTTCCTGGCAATATATTGATGGTTATGGAGCTGAATAATAACAGAGGTTCATTTGTGTTTGAAATTTTCCAAAAGAAAAGGTACAAAAAGAAAAGCAATTAATGGTCTTATTTTCCAAATGGCTTGAGTTTGGATAAAGTATCAGCTAGCCCTTCATATGTGCTCAATCCAGAAAAGATCTACATCGCTTCCTGCATACTGGATTCCACAGATCACATCAGCCTACAGTTAGGTTTTACTTGGCTCAGAGAGTTTTTTAAATATGTAGGAGATTTTATGCAAAAACTAGGCTTTCTCATTTTGGAAAAATTAGGGGATGTGTCTACACTGAGGCCCCATTTCTTTCAGAAAACAGTCACCTGAGGCACAGAATCCACTGCCTTCTTGAACCATAGCATGGTTTCAACACTCCACCCTTCTCTCCTGTTCCACACTGGGACCATTTGCATTACCTGCCAGATCCTGTAGGCATCTAATGCCTCCTGGCCTGGTGAATGACTCGTTCTTGGAACAGTGCTCCCATCTGTATTGATTATTGACACCTGTGTTTATTGGGACTGGACTCTCAGAGGAGTGAGATCAATAGATGTCTTAGTTCTCCCCATTTCCTTTCCCTGGTATCTGTAAATATCAACCTGGTATCTGTAAATATCACAGTTTTGAAAGAAAAGAAAAGAAAAAGGCCAAGCAAAGTGGATTTCCATTAATAAGACTCTACTTAATGCCGATGAGCCAGAGGGAAGGGGTCCAGTCCCTACAAGTGTTGACAAGTTCCACAGACTATTGCAATGAGGAACTAGGGAAATATGAGCCACATTCTTAGGCCATATTCACTTTAAAGTGAGATAAGGGGCCAAAAACCAGTTACACCTATGTTTATAGTAGCATTATTCACAAAAGCCAAAAGGTGTCCATCAATGGATGAATGGATAGACAAAATGTGGTATATACATACAATGAATATTATTCAGCCTTAATGAGGAGGGAAATTCTGACATGGATGAGCCTTGAAGACATTACGCTAAGTGAAATAAGCCAGTCACAAAAGGAAAAATACTATATATGAATCCACTATATAAGCTATCTAGAGTAGTCAGATTCATAGGGACAGAAAGTAGAATGGTGGTTGCCAGGGCCAGGGAGGAGAATGGAATGGGGAGTTGTTGATTAATGGGGACAGAGTTTCACTTTTGCAAGATGAGAGCAGTTCTGGAGATGGATAGTGGTGATAGTTGCACAACAATGTGAATGTACTTAATATCACTGAACTGTACACTTAGGAATGGTTAAGATGATCAATTTTATGTTTTAAAAATATAACTAGCCAAATTATGTTTTAAAAATATAACTAGCCAATTAAAAATATAACTAGCCAAACCTAGTTCAAAAATATGTGGTGCTGCTTCTAATGATTTCCTATCAAAGAGGGAGCCACCTTCTGACTTCTCTGTCCTCCTTTGGTTAATTCACAATAGCAAATGACTCGCAGTCAGCAGATGGACGAACTCCTGGATGTCCTCATTGAAAGTGGAGGTAAGACTGCCCGTGTTCTGCCCATCAGGATACTCTGCACCTGCATGTACTCTAGGGCCATGGTCGGAAAACCATGGCTCAAGAGCCACATGCAGCTCTTTGGGCCCTTCAGTGTGGCTCTTCCACACAATACCACGTGTGGGCATGCACATACAGTGCGACTGAAACTTCGTGGCCCATGTGCAGAAGTCGGTATTTTGTAGAAGAGCCAGTACTTTGTGGAAGAGCCACACTCAAGGGGCCAAAGAGCCGCATGTGGCTCGCGAGCCACGGTTTGCCGAGCCGCAGTTTGCCGACCACTGCCTAGGGAGTAAACCCAGGTGCTCACTGTAAATGGGACTGAAAAGTCTATGGCAGCGGTTCTCAACCTGTGGGTCGCGACCCTTTTGGGGGTCGAACGACCCTTTCACAGGGGTCGCCTAAGACCATAGGAAGACACATATATAATTACATATTGCTTTTGTGATTAATCACTATGCTTTAATTATGTTCAATTTGTAACAATGAAATTGGGGGTCACCACAACATGAGGAACTGTATTAAAGGGTCGTGGCATGAGGAAGGTTGAGAACCACTGGTCTATGGGTACAGTGGTCACTCCATCCGAGCTTCCTGTCCACTTTGGATCAGACTTCTTGGAACATTTCCACCAATCATTTTAACAGGTTTCATGTTCCAACTGTTCCCTAACTTTCCTCTTTTTATACTATTTCTCTCTACCGTTCTAATCCCAGTGTCCCTATCTTCATTGGGAGAAGGATGGAGAAGATAAAACAAGTTTTGTGCTACCTACTCAAAATGATATTCAATTATTAATGTCCCATTAGATGGTCCATTCATGCTTGAATGTCTTTCAAGCTAGCAATAAAAATTATCGACATATTCTTTTTGCCCCTTTTAAGTCATGTATTTATTTTTTTAATTATGTAATATGTACTTAGAATTTAAAACCATACAAATGAATAAGGTCACATAGGAGAAAGTGTAGATAGAAAGAAAAAAAAAAACCTCAAGTAACAACACTTGAGAAAGAGGGTCCAGGCTCAAGGCTACACTGGACCAAGTCCCCACCTTTGGGCAGTTTGCAGTCTGGTGAGGGAGATTGACAACAAGCAAGAGAACAGGCAATTCCTCCATTGTAGCAAGAGAGAAGGAAAAGATGAGCAGCGGGTGTGAACGGCAGCTCCAGCAGCGGGTGCGAGTGGGGCTGGTGCCAGGAGCAGGTGCAAGCGCCGAGCATGACCACAGCACATGGGAGCAAAGAATTTTCAGTAACCACCAGAGGCTCACCCCAATGACAGTGCCTGGCACCCCACCTTGGTCTGGCACTCCCGCTCCACCAGCCCACCACAGCCAACACCCACCATGTTCTGCGCGTGTTCCCTGCTGGTCAGCGCACATCATAGTGACCGGTTGTTCAGTTGTTCCGCCATATATATAATGGTGGACCAGATAATATGGATTGGAAAGAAAAGAAATGAAAACCAGAAGGGGTGGATGGATGGTGATAAAATAGTGGTGTCTGTAGATTAGAGTGACTCCTTGTGGCTGAGAAGTTGTTGTTGGGTAAGTTAGAGGAATAGGAGGGGATGCATTGAGAGTGGGAAATTTTGCTTGATATTGAGCTTTCAGAGGGATAAAGTATTTGGAAATGATAAGGTCCAGGGTGTGTCCAACAGAGTGAAAATGAAGGAATCACTGAAGTTGAGGGTGATGGTGACGTCAAGGAACTGAGAGGCCAGCTGGACAATGGGTGACTTCTGAGGATGCTGAAATTACAGAGAATGACAAGAGTTTAAGTGGGGAAAAGGCAATGAACTAGGGAATAGAGTTTTCAGTGGATGAGGAGACATGTGTGGAGTAGGATGGTGGGGAGAGAAGCATGACCCTGAAAGCCAGGAGTTATAAGGTGGAGGAGTAACAATCAGAGAGTGGCAGCAGGAAGACTCACCTGCTCTGAAGTACAGGAGCCCACACTGAGGATGTAACAGAGAATGCAATGTCCTCAGGGGACAGACAGCTGTCAGTGAAGGAGCAGGTAAAGGAAACTGCTTTGAGAATTTGATAAACACAAAGTGAAATTTCCAGAAAGAAAGGATGTGAGGAGAGACCCGGAGGGGTCAGGGGGATAGGGATGCGTAGAGCCGTCTAGAGATGAAAGAGGGTAGTGAGCAGTGACCAGAGGAGCATAGCCACCTCCTGCATCTGAGTGTAACTCGTTCACTCCAAAGATTCACGTTGTGAGGCATGCTCTGTTTGAAGTGATTTGACAGTTCCCATTGTGTTTTACCAACAGAAATGCCAGCTGATGCCAGAGAGGATCATTCGTGTCTTCAAAAGGTCCCAAAGATGCCTAGGTCTTCCCGAAGCCCCACTGCTGCCCTCCCCAAGCCTTCTTCTCCCTTTGAACAAGCGTCTTCAGGAGGCCAGCTCTCATTTGATCACTATGGCACAGACAGTGATGAGCACCTTGAAGTCTTATTAAATTCCCACAGCCCCTTGGGAAAGGTGAGCGATGTTGCCCTTCTAAAAATTGGGAGTGAGGAGCCTTCTTTCGATGGCATAATGGATGGATTCTCTGGGAAGGCTGCAGAAGACCTCTTCAATGCGCACGAGATCTTGCCAGGTCCCCTCTCCCCGATACACACTCAGTTTTCACCTTCTTCTGTGGACAGCAGTGGGCTGCAGTTAAGCTTCACTGAATCTCCCTGGGAAACCATGGAGTGGCTGGACCTCACTCCCCCAAGTTCCACACCAAGCTTCAGCTCACTCAGCACCAGCGGCCCGAGCATCTTCAACATCGATTTTCTGGATGTCACAGATCTGAATTTGAATTCCCCCATGGACCTGCACTTACAGCAGTGGTAGAATGCCTGATGCAAAAATGCTAAGGAAGGCCAACAGGAATTCTACAACCACAAATACTTGTATTGTATTACCCAAAAGGAGGAGCAGGAGAAGGGGGAGGGAGAGGAGGAAGAAATTTAAAAGAAGCAGTGGAGATTTCTATGACTATCAACAGCACAAATAGGAGTCCTTTATATATATATATAGTAATACTTACCAACATTCAATGACTGTTACTGATTTTAGCAATGCACTTAAAATGTGCTTTCTCAGATCAAGAATGCCAAAAAAAAAATCTTTCACTACCTTTTCAAACACCAATATATTTTCTAGCCCATATTTAATTAAGACATTGTTGGGGCGTAATCTCACTTTGTAAGCTTTTCTCATGAATTTATTGGAAAGAAAATGTAAACTTGGGAGTTCAGGGAAGTCAGTCCATCAAAGGTTATAGAAGACACACCTGTGATGGAGGCTGATTCTCATAGCTCCATTACTGTCTTTCAAAATACAAATAAGGCCCAGTTTCAGTTACAGAGTTCTTGAGGCAGAATAGAGGGACAGAACCAATTCATTCCCAGGGAAGAAAAATCAACTCAGTGTCCCTTGGCCACAAAGCTGCCCCATTGGAACGGTTTCCAATCTCCTACCCAGGAGTCTGTGTTGTGTGGTCACTGATAAAAACTGACCCGCCATTGTTGCAGAGAACCCTTCCCGGAACTTCCCTTTTTCTTAACCAATTAGCCGCATCACTCCCACTCTCTCTGTGGTGGGAAGCATTGTGAAACAGGCAAGAAACTCCTGCCATGGGAGGTTCTCCAGCACAACCCTCCTTAGTTCCAAAGACTAGTGCTGACCTAAGCAGATGAAAGGACCGCTCTAGCCTCAGGGAGCCATATCAGGGATCACTCAGACAGCGCTAGAGAACACTGTTTCCCATATCATGGGAATACTAGTAAGCCATAGGCTATTATAACAGGACTATGTGTGAGGTCCAACTTCTTTTTCTGGAATGGGCATGGTCTTGTTTATTTTTCTGCCACTCAACTTTTCTTTCAAGAGACCAATCTTTTCTTGCTCCTCTTTCAGATATCTTTCTTTTTTGCCCCGACATTGGGAGAAGAGGACTTCTTACTGTAGATCTAATAAGCTGCCATACTCCTAATAAAGCCATATTTCAAAAAGCTAAAACTCCAGGTTTTCCTGGAAAACTCATTCTCCATATGCATACTTTGCTGCAGAAGGAAGTTGAAAGAATGTCTTTAGGAAGAAACTGGTGACTTGGCCCATCAGTCACCACGCTCATTCTCCCCTCGTTTGATTTACAGAAATCACTGATTTGGGAAATTGGAAATCATTATATTGTAGAGATACAAGGAGAGAGTGTTTTAGGTATGGATTTCTGAAAGAAAACACAATTGCGTATTGAAAACAGTGGGAGGAAGAAAAGACAGTGGTGTCGTGTGCATTCCTCATTACCTCTCACGCTTGTGCTGGGGGTTGGAAAACTCAGCCGTCGGGACGGTCTCCCCAAGGTGCACTGTGGCTTCACCGTGTTTATAGTGTTGCATGCCGTAGAAAGTAGCTGTTGTTGTTGTTTTAATTTAAATCACTAAGGCACTGTTTTCTTATTTTGTAAAAAACGTTGTTCACTGTGCACTTATGGAGAAAATAACCAAAAATGTTGTGATTTTAGAAGTTCTTTTTTTGATAAACCAAAGATTTAGAAATCATTCCATTGTTAACTTGTAAAACTTGTGTGAACAGAGTTTTTGGTGACTGCTACTCTGAAAGCTGCCAGAGCTTATTAGGGGTGGGGGATATGTATATATATATATATATATCCACACACACATGCATATGTGTATGGATATATATATGTGTGTGTGTATGTGTCTATGTATGTACACATATATACATGCATGTGTATAGACACATACACATGTGTGTATGAATCTTGTAAAGCAGTGTTACAGAGATCTATACCAAAAACCTTTAAGCCTCAATCTGCTGTGAAATGATACTTGGTCTTTCTCACTACGAGTTTCTAATTAACCAACCAGACTACACATTGCCTCTGTGTGTGTGACTGAGGCTCCAGCCGATGACTCACAGCCACTTGCTTACTGTGAACAAGCTCATCTTGACAATGGACATGGATGTGAAAGACAGAACAGCTTCACCATTAGCAGCTGGAAACGGCAATACAGTCTCTCCTGGAGAGCATAAAAGGAACATTAAAACCCTTTTACATTCCTTGATCTGCATTGCGCTTTAAAAGATCCACATGGTAAATTTTTCATTTTGCTTTTATGTCGGTCATCAGAACCAAAAATCTAGGGGGGACTGGAGGGGATGACCAATCTTTTCTTTGAAGATGAAGCATGGGGAAGAAACCCTTATTAACACATTCCTCACATTTGTTTATTCCTCAGATGTTGAAATTCTATTTGGATCTTAACAAAGCTTGCTGGTCAGTACATTTTTCATGTGTTACGTTGTGTGATTTGTATGTTATCCTCCCCACCCTTTACTTCCTTTGGAAAACAAACTCATAGTGTCCCTCCTCTGAGACAATAGTCTGAGTGTTAATTATTTTTTTTTTTCCTTTGGGTAGTCCCATCTGAAGAAATAGACTTGGTTAGGAGGCCTCTGCACTTTGCAAGTTTCTGCATCTTTAGGGATCTTTTTAGGTTATTACCTTGTATACACCTCACAGTTGACAAAGACGGACCCTACTTGCTACTGCAAACCAACACACTTAACACAGATCAGACCCTGGATTATTGATCTCAACCTCCTTCCACAGTCTCCACACAGCATACTCACTCTGTCTCTTCATAGCTCAGGTGTATTTGTGGGATAAAACCGGGGATAATTGGGAGAAATTTGATGAAGTTGGCTTCTCCCCGTGGATCAGATCATTCATGTTAATTCATCTGTCTCCTATTGGGGATTTTTAAGTTCTTTTAATCTCTTAGTTGTGTCCTCTGTTTTGGTGACAAATTGGGCCTGATAAAAAGATGTACAGAGACTTATAAAGATGGCCACATCCATGTTTCTTAATTATATTAGACCTGAAAATAACTACCTGTTGTTTTCTTAATACTCTTGGCATCCCATGGTGCAGCAGACCTGCAGACATTTGCAGACATATGAATGCTGATGCAGTCCCTTAGGTTCAGACTTTCCAAAGGAGTAGAAAATTTATTTCTGCAAATCCTGTCATTAAGCCGGTGCTTATTAGTTGTAGCCCTGCTTCTACAATGTTATTGATATGACACACATATTATATTATGAGGGAGAGAGAGGAAAGGGGGGAGGGAAGGAGGAGGGAAGGAAGGAAGGAGAAAAGGAGGGAAAGAAGAACAGGAGGGAGGGAGAGAGGGGAGAACAAAGGTCCCAACTTCCTGATCTATGGACCTCTCAGTTCACCTAAGACATTGCATGTTGAAAAGTGAACCACAAATTTTTAGATGAAAAGTCATCCTTTAGAAATGCAATGATTGCACCATAAATAAGGAAACCAAGAGAGTAGTCAAGGGTCTGAGAACTGGAGACCTTTGCCATTCAAAGCATTTATTTCCAATCTGGAAAAAAAAAAAGAATGAATTAAAAACAAGCATTTGAGACACTCCTTTTCAAAAATTATTTAAATTCTATCAGCTCTCCTAAAAACAGATCATGGTGTGGCTGAAAACTCCTGCATCCAATTTACACATCCAATAGATAATTACTTGATGTCTAACCTGTACAGATCACACAAATCCTCAGATATCCAATACCAAACTGACTAAGTACTGATGGTTCAGAATTTGAGTGGCTGGGGAGTTGCAGTTGCTATAAGCAAGAACACTGGGAATTTCCCAGTCCTCAAACCAGAAACCCTTAGCTGTGATAAAAAGGGCGTCTTCATTTTTCCAGAAGAGAGAACAGAGGCTCCTTTTTAGCTAAGAGTTATCACCCACACTAACATTCTTTTCTTGTCTCTTTCTCAATGACCAAAGAGCAGTAGTACATCACTTGGAGATCTTTCAGTATCTCCCACCACGTCAAACATTTGTGAGCATTTTAGGATTTGCTTTTATCTCCAGATACAGAAACCCATGAAAATTGGGGATGGGAGAGGAAAACATCTTGCCCTACCACTGATCCTCCATCTCTATAGCAAGCTCTCAGGACAACAAGGACACTTATTGCAGGGGCGGGGTGTCCAAGGTAAACCTCCATCCTTAGCAGAAAAGCTGTGGAATGTGAAGGCACTACCTTCCGCCTTGGGTTTTGCTGCATTCCTCACAGTGGGAAGCCCACCAAAGCTGGCACACTGCTTGCTATCAGAGATGAGAGAACTTGGAGTGAAAGCGTCTGGGCTCTTTGTTTTCCTATAAATCCAGCATCACCCCGCAGGGTGGTGCAGAGGCTGAAATTGCTAGTATTCATAGACCCTGAATCCAGGCCCTGGAAAAAGAGGGGCCTCTGGTGCTGAGAGCGGCTCCGGTGTGTTCGGGAGCTGGGTTTGATTGGAGAATCCACATTTTCAGAGGCCCCCAGGTTGAGACTATGCATGAAAAGATAAGTTTAAGACAAGAAAAGATCTTGGAAGAATTTTGCTAGCATCTGCCAGGGAAATCATAAGAGGATTCATTGAGTTCAATCATGTGCCAGTAAGTTCCTTCGGATTCTAGGATTTGGCAATTTCCCCTGTGAATTAAGACAAACTCCTGAAAGTCTCTTGTGCTTATTTTAACCACCTGCTGGCAACATGAGTTTCCCATAAATGGCGTAACAGCTTCTGAGCGTTCATGGAAAGGGAGTATAACCATGGGGATTCTGGATGCTATTCTGATGTTTTCCAAAGGAAGGGAAGCCACATGCCCCCAGGGTTCCTCTCCAAGGTGGAAAGAGGGCAGTGCTTGCTGGGTGCTTGAAACCCTCCTTGCTGAAACACAACGCGGTGCTTTGTAAAGAAATAAAAAGACCAAGCGCACATTTTCTGTGGGGACCCCATGAGGTGTTGTTTTCATGTTGGTCTCCTTGGCTCAACTATACATAACCAGAAAGAAATGTGGGTTGCCAGGAAGAGAAAAGAAGCAATGGCTAAAATACCAAAGTTGGCATGTGTTCTTTTTAAATATATATATATTTTTAAATAAAATGTTTATTTTAAAAAGAGATGTAAGCTTTTTTCTTGACCATATGATGTACCGAGCACTGTACTGTGCCCTT